ATTACATACTAGTGCTAACCCAATATCATTGCTTCTATTTTTAAACACATTAAATAAATTCTAGATGTAAGCATAAATCTCACTCAGCTCAATTTGCAGACATTGAAAACTATGAATGTGACCTTATTACATACAATATTTGGTTTTTACAATATTTCTTAATTATTTCATATTTTTTTATCTCTTGATAAATTCAATTTAATTGAAAAATAATCTTTAATGACAATATTGGCTACATAATAATTTAAAAACAAATTTAACCCGCAATTCAAAATCTTAATTTGAATATACAACATAGAAACTGAAATAATAATATGTTTAATATGAACTACATATTTCTAATGTTATTATGATAGTGATATTTCTCTGATCATTTCTAATATATTTCTGACATAACTCTGATCATTAAGCAATGATAGAAATACTAATTAAATTTAAAAAACTAATGACAATTTTACAGATGTGGCATTGAAGTATGCAGATTTTCAAAATTTACTACATAATCCTTTATAAAAGTTCATTTATTTAAATTATTGGGTTGTTTGGAAAGTAACTTTATTTTTTACACCAGAAGAATTAGTTGTATTTATCCACCAATTTCATTTTAAGCCATATTGTCATTATAAATTTTGACAGCTGACATTTCAAAGCTTATTTGTAAAAAATTTGGTTGGATTCTGTGCAATTGTTTTTTTTTTGGTGTCCCATCAAATATGGAAAACTGAAAGCTGTATTTTTGGCATATTTTGCTTTTTTATTACCAAAAAAATAAAAATGCTGTTCAAGCAAGAAAAAAATTATGTGACATGTATGGAGATGATGTGTTGAAAGAATGACAGTGCCAAAACTGGTTCACAAAATTTCATTCTGGGAATTTTGATATTGAAGATGCACACCATGTTCTGGAAGGCCAGTTGAAGGTGATGAAGACAAAATAAATGTACTGATTAATGCAAACTGCTGAATAACAACACGAGAAATTGCTAAGAGATTAAATTTGTTGAATTCAACTGTTTATGATAACTTGGTTTCATTTCAAATCTTGATATATGGGTTTCACATGTTCTTAAAGAAAAAGATGCTCTCTTTGGAGGAAATTTAAGGGAATTTTTTTTCTTGAGCTTCTACCAGACAATTCCACAATTAATTCAAAAGTGTAATGCCATCAAATGGACAAATTAAGTGATACCATCAAACAGAAAAGGTCAGAATTGATCAACAGAAAAGGTGTAGTGTTTTACCACAATAATGCCAGATCTCTCACAAGTTTGATAACTTGTCAGAAACTGTTACTGCTTGGATAGGATGTGCTACCAAACTCACCATATTCACCATAATCTGGCACCCTCTGATTATTACTTGTTCCAGTCTTTACAACATTTTTTAAACAGTAAAACATTTACTTCAAATGAGAATGTCAAAAATCACTTGGATCAGTTTTTTTGTAAGCAACAATCAAAACTTTTATGAACATGGAATCATGCTACTACCAGAAAGATGGCAATAGGTATTTGACCAGAATGGTTAATATATAATTCAATAAAATATTTATATTATATGAAAAATTTTTTGTGGGGAAAAAACAATTACTTTCCGAACAACCCAATAGTTCTTTTTAACAATTTCATATTATTTATCCATTATCCATATGCTTTATGCATTACAAAATACTGAAGATAGTTATTTTTACTATGTTCATTTTATATTGTAAAATATTAAACAAATTAATGCTTTTGTAAATAANTACTTTTTTTTTTTTTTTTATAAAACCCACACTTACCCCAAAATTAAGCTTTTGCCATTTAATAATAAAAATATAAAAAGTTTTTAATAATAAAATATGACAACAGATGACGCCACCAAATGATGCCTGGAAAGTTAATCAACTCGTTGCTGGATTTTTTAAATAAGAAATCCCTGATTTACGTATAGATTAGTATTCTTAATCAATCACTAATGTCAGATTTAATATAAAATCAAATAAAATCATGCACGCTAAATTATGACGATGCTAATCTTACAAGTTAGTATTTTTGTACAGAGCATAATGATGTATAACAAATATATTCCTTATTTTCTTTCTTATCAAAATGGACAAAAATAAAGTAAAATTAACGTAAACGAAAATACTGTATATATATATAATTGAATCGGTAATTTAATTATAAAACATAACTAAGATTTAAATGTAATTATTTGCAGCTTTTACAATTACATATTTCTAACTGTTTATTAATTTAAAACAAAATTTAGAAAGTAATTTGTAATTTTTAACAATGGGATAAAGGAAAGAACATTTTTATTTTCTGTTGGGATGATTTAGAATGACTTTTGAGGATAAACTGTGATTAGATGCAAAAACATTAAATTAGTTACATTATTAAACTTTTATAAACCACCATTTTTTTTTCTTCATAAACAGACTAAACTTGTGTTTATAATCTGTATTTATTAATTTGTATTCAGCAAAATTCAAAAAAGAAAAAATAATAATAATAAATTAGAAAATTTATTCTAAAATATGCAATATTAAATATTATACATATGTAAAAAACCAATTTTAAAATTTTATTTTAGAGATTTTCATTTTTTTCTTAATGATTATATGGCAGTTGGAATAAATGAATGAAATTTGAATTTGTTAACTTAAAAAACAAAAATCTGGTAGTGATAGACTTTCTTACTCATAACTTCTTATTTGATTTTTTGTTCACCAAATCAAATAATTATATTCAGAAAGTAAAATAAATATTCAGTTTTCAGTGCTGAATTGTGATTTGTGTTTTTACAATATCAGCATGCAAAATACTTTGATTATAAAATTATTTGGTAGTGAGCCACAATCACTGTTTACTTCCAAATTACATTAAGAAAGGTGTTTTATTTAAATCATGCTAANTTCTGAACCTTGGAAATAAATTGTTTTATTATTTTATTACATTTTAATAATTACGAAATAAAATTTTAAATTATAATTTTATCTTCTATCAATTATGAATGATCTATTCTAAATAAAAATATTTCATCCTTAGTTTTAAACAGTGACACTTTTGATTCCTTAGTCCAGGGCCATGCCAAACAGTTTTAGTGTCAAATGCAAATCTCATACTGGCATTTGATTAAATGTTAATTACAAAATCTTCTATAGACTCATTTTGACACCCCAAGATTGGTGCTTGAAGACATGCCCACCTTTGCCCCCTTTAGTTATGCTGCTGCCTTAGTCAAGTAACATTTTATAATTCCATACATGATTCGTCTTTTATAAGTAAAGTTCTAAACAACATCAAAAAAATCCAATGTTAAAACTGCAATTACCTATGTTATATATCTACAGATTTCAGATGTAATAAAAACACTTATCAAAAAGCTCATTTAGCTTGAACTTTTTCATAAGTGTTTGTATTACATACTAGTGCTAACCCAATATCATTGCTTCTATTTTTAAACACATTAAATAAATTCTAGATGTAAGCATAAATCTCACTCAGCTCAATTTGCAGACATTGAAAACTATGAATGTGACCTTATTACATCATCTTCAGACAATACATATATAATGATGGCAATATAGTATAAATTTTTAGTTAAAAGTAATGTTATATATTTACAATATTTATAGACTATATTAACCATTTATTGTCTGTACCTATTTGTAGACAGTGAAATAAATTCCATATTTTTAATTGTAAATATTCTAAGACAATGGTTCTAACTGGTATAGCATAGCACATTAGCATGATATAAAGTCATTCAGGCAACCAAAAGATAAATTTAAAAATTAAAATAACAAATTTGAAAATTTGAAAATAAACTAAAATATAATGATATTAATAAAATATAATTCTATGCATTATCAACTGCATTTCAGGACTTTGTATAAGCTACATATCACACAGCAGTGGATCTAGTTATGTACAACTGACACAGTGCTGTATTATTTGTGGGGCCTATAAATAACTCTTGCACTGGAGTGTGTGACTCATACAATCTTTACATAATTGTAGAAGTGTCCTATGAGTCCAAATAAGTTAAGAACCACTACTCTAACTTGTAACATAAACTCTGATAAACCATGTTTTATTAAGTATACCTATGGGTTCTAAGCTGCAGAAAAACTATTCATTTTCTATAATCATCTGTTATCTAATTTGTTTTTTAAATCTAATTATTTCTTTTTATAAGAATTTTTCTGCAAAATGATTAGTTCATTAATAACTGTCACTTAGCTTTTTTGGGATGAAAAAATTGCTGTTATAAACTGTAAAAACTAATTTCTCTTTTTGTTATAACATTCTCTATCATATGTTTGATTTATTTAATTCTGTTTGTGTTATTTATATAAATTTTTTCTGATGTAGATAAGAAAATCTTATAGACATTATAACATTATTCACGTATTTGATTTCATTATTGAAATGTAAACTAAATCAATTAATTTATTTCCATCTCTGCTAAAATACACTTTTTCTCATTATGATTTTCAGAGTTAGAATAAATATAGCAACATACAGTAAAAAACAAAGCCATTTCCATAAAGGAGAGCATTACAGGTAATTGTTTCATGAAAAGTTGGCATCCATAATGAATACAGAACTGGTTTAAATCTTATTTCTTACTATCCAATCAATTTTTGGTGCTAATTTTCTTTTGCTTCATTAGATGAAAATTATTAATTATTATAAATGTCTTATTAGTTTGTTCAAAATAATCTAGATATAATCTTTNAATCTTGATATAACTATAACTAATTTATATTTAATATAAATTTTTGTTAAAATAATATTTTTTCAACTTTTGCATTCACAGTATTTAAATTCATTGTTTTTTCATTATTCCCAGAAAGTCAAATAAACTTTTATTTGACAAACTGGAATCATTTTTATTAAAAATAATAATGCATAACTGAGAATAACACAGCATCTAAAAAATAAAATAACAGTAATGCCTTCAACAGCACAATTGAAAATTTCACAATTATATATTCTGATAAATTAAAAATAGTAATAAGTATATTACCTTATTAACTTCCTCTGAACTAATGGCCAAGCATCTCTTCTTGAATCGTCTGTATACATTCGAAATAATATCCTCAATGTACAGGCAAGACTGTGTGATTCTTGTGTAAGTAAATTTGGTTTTACATTTCCACGAAAACCTGTATAAAATAATTCAAATTGAAGTGCATAATTTATTATATAAATGTTTAACTTTAATAAAAATTTGAACAAATTTCAAATTATATCATTAAAAAAATGTATTAAAAAATATTAGTAAATACAATTTTTTAAATGATAAAATTTCTAATAATTTTAAAAAGAATAAAATAACAAATTTATCATCATCAGCAACATTTTATTAGTAATTATAAATTTTAACTACATCCAAATTAAAATTTTAATGAAGATAAAATAATTTAGTTATTATTCTTTTTTTAAATTAATTTACAAAATTTAATGATTTAAACAGTATAATTCAATATAATAATGAGATGTACTAAAATTTCAAAACAGTTATGTAAACAATTTCATTATTTAAAAGAAATGATAATACTTTTAGTGCAAAAACATGCATTAATAAACAAATGACCTACTTTATAATTTTTTAAATTAACAACAACAGTCAAAATAAATTTAATAAGTTGAAACCGATCATCCATATATTATTTTAATCATAACTCATTTGGTTATTTTTCAATGGTATAAAATAATATTCTAAGCTATGTAATTTAAAAGAAATGATTAATTTACAATGTTAAGATTGGACACAATATAAAAACTTTTCCATCTAATTTTATTTCTATAAATTTACTCCTGAATAATTTTATTGCAATTCTATTTAAGTAAATTATATAATAAGTTCAGAAAGAAGACAAACTGTTCTAAACTGATATACGTAATATTACATTCATTTAGTGTTTAAATAATAATAATAAAGGTATATTAGATAATAATGTAATAAAAACTGATAACCATATTATACATGTAATATTGAACAATATAATGAAAAACTTATTATATAAAAATTTTATCAAGTTATTGGTTTTTACATAAAAAAAACCACCAATTATTCTTCATGAAAACCTACAGCTGCTAATGTTAACAGTTTACTGTATTTCCTTTGTAATTTTAATAGATTGTTGTCATAATCATAAATCACTGGATAATATATAAGACTCCTTAATTACCTCAGCCATCCAGCTATCTCACCATCATCATCACCATCACCAAGAAAAGAAACAAATATTCTCAACTTTCTTTGTAAAAGGGAGGATTTCATTCTCTCACTACTTTTTTCAAATGTGTGTTTTTTTTCACACTGTGTACATAATTTGTTACTCTAAAAATTGTCAACCCTATTTTAAATAGTTTGTAAATGTAGTTTTCAAAGAGCAATAAGTTGCAATGTAAAACAATATATGAATTTTGATATTCCTAACATCAAACATCAATAACAATATTTATTTTTGTGACTTCAATATTGGAAAATTTTGCATTAGTTGATTATTTGATAATATCAAACACCACTCTACCATATATATGCACACAATACATACTAGACATACTAAAAGTTAATTTGAAATAAACAAAAAATTATACTCACTAGCTTTCCAAAGTAAGTTTCGTTGCTCATGATTTGAATTGAAGGATTTAGCAAATCTATGCGATTCTAATAAACAATCCACAAGCTGAAGAAGTTGTGGCGATGTTAAATAAGGATACATTCCTTGTTCTTCTTGTTGTTGATTATCAATTGATTGATTTATATCATTCAAATGTTTAATATCAGCCTAAAAATTGGCATATTATTAATTTTAATTTAAGGTTGAAAATATAAATAGTTTAAGATAAAACTGTATTGATCAATAAAAACTGTAATAAGTTATGCAAAACTGCTGAGAAATATCCAAATATGCTACAATAAGAAAATTCATTACATAATGAAGTCATATATTTTGGTTAATTTTATGCATGTCTTACAGGATTATTATTATAATGTAATGATTTAAATTTAATACAGCACACCTTTTTCCAGTTCCTTAAAATATCATGAATAGGGACAAGCCTTTCATTATTTCCTACAGTCATAATTTGTGCATTTCTGGCATAACTCATCACCCTACTCATGTTACCCAAGAACATTAAAATATTACAGAACACTCATATCAATTAATGATTCTAAATGAAATAAAATAAATCATCTTTAACTTGTTCATATTACTGCTACGAAATGAGAAAAGCAAGTATGAAAGTTATCAGACATAATACATTGGTAAGAAAAACAAAAGTTTGTTAATACAATAAATAAATAAAAAACAAGTAAAATAGAGTAAAATTGTCTTTAAGAAATAAAATTATAATCACCAATAAAAATTTTTAATATAGAAACAAAGTTCACTAAACTGCACAACCTCATTAGACTCATAGCATCCCATAACAACTCATTTTCATTCATACTGAGTCTTGTGAAACAAGACATAGCATGAATGAAAATGAGATAAACTTGCAGATATCTAAATCAGAGTGCTTGGAAATATTAATCTCTCCACACTAAGGATTAAAATTTTTTTTCTTGAAATATTGGTTTGGCACTTGTTTTATTGAATATTTTGTCATGTAAATCAGTAAGAAGGATAAAAGAAAACAACTCATTATATTGAATTCTCACATATAAAGTACTTGTAGTCACACTGTATTTGATACCAACACTGAATATTGTTAAAATTAAGTAGCTGTTTGACACATTTTTATCTTAGCTGTGTGCTGTTAGTATAATATGCTTAACAAGTTCCTGACTACATAATATCTAGAGCAGTGGTCGGCAACCTATGGAGCATTTAATATTGCTACTAAGATCTAATGTTAATAGATCTTTTGTTTATTATTGTTATTGATATTATTAATTATAAACTTGATTGTTACTATTTGAAAATCATTACAGGCTTCTTTAATTTTTTTGAATCCTAATAAAACAGATTTTTTTTCTTCTTGAAAATTTTTATTCAAAATAATTATTTAAAGTAAAATAAAAAATATTGATTATTATAAATGTCTTATTAGTTTATTCAAAATAATCTAGATATAAACTTTCCATAAATCAAGTAGAAAATTTAAACATGATTCTGCTATTGTTCTGTCTCTTTATAACTGCATTTTTTTATTAATTTCTAATTAGAAATTGCTAAAATTGAAATCTTGTTTCAAGTCAAACACATCAAAAAAAAAAAACAGTGATTAAAATTCAGCATCCATAGTTTTAGTTTTATTTATATTATGACGATTTACAATATAGGGAAAAAACAAGCAAAACTATAACCTCCATTACAATATTAATATTTTTTATTGGGCTGCAATTTAAAAAATTGTAGACCTATAAATTCCCACTGTCATCCATGTCTGTCCTTCTTTAATCTCCAGAACATTGTTAGATAGATGAAAGTCAAGAAAGTCAGATATGGAAAGCTTAGGGGCATGAGGCCCCAATTTACTACAGTACAGCATCAATTATCTGAATCAATTCTGGACTGAGGTTGTTCAGAAAATCGATTTTTCGGATAACCGATTATGTATGAAAAAATATATTAACCTATCCCATGTTAAAATTCCAGTGCTGTGTCGTGCCAGTGCTGCCAGCTAAAACACACACACTAACAAAAATAATATTGGAGTAGGCCAAGACATAGCCAAAGATTGCAGTGCCACATCACTAGTGGAAATTTAAATTTGCCGACTGGAAAGCTTTCTGTTAACTGACGTTTCGGTAGATCAACATTCAGATAATCAATGCTCTACTGTATATACAAACTTCCACTTGGGGCTGGAAGTCACATTATTTCAATTCAAAAATTTCTAAATGGAGTTAGATACATGACTGGCATGATTTCATTGTTAACAGAAAATGTATGAGGTACAGGGGCAAAACACTACTAAAGTTAAGTGTATGGGATGGAAAAATTGCAGCATGGCATTGTGACAATGTCACAATAAATAATTGCTCATTTTTCACTGATTTTATTTTGGAAATTTTTTTTTAATATTAACAATGTATTCATCTGGATCAATATAAAGTGGAACCTCGGTATACGACCTTAATCTGTTCCTAATGTTTGGACTTATACTGAATTGGACGTATACCAAACCAACCTTTCCCATAAGAAGTAATGTAAAAATGATTAATCCGTTCTCATGAAAAAAAATGGCTGGCTTTAAACACCTTGCTTTCCTGGCTAGTTCCTGCTTGATTCTTTGTGAGATCAGCATGTATCTTTTTAGCTTTCTCACAAATAATTGCTTCTGATACGATGTCGCCAGCACACTGTTTTTCAGTTATCCAAAGCAAAAGCAATTTCTCAACATGATCTAATGTCTTCGATCTCTGTTTAGAAACTGATTTAACTCCTTTCCCAATGTTAGCAGATTTAATAATGTCTTTATTTTTCGTGACTGTCGATATCGTCATTCTCGGAATAGGGTATGCAACAGTTAAATCTCGAACACATATACCACCTTCATATTCCTCAACAATTTCTTTTATCAGTTCCATTGTGATTCTAGTAATTTTTTTAATTTTCTGTTGCTTTTCATTTTCCTTTTTGCAATTCATCATTAATAAAAATAATAAAATTTTACTTACAAATTAAAATCAGAAGAAATTTAACAAAGTTATAAACTGTGGCACTGCGAACGTCTAGTCTGGTCTAGTATACCGATAGTGCTACTTGTTCATAGATGGCACGTATAGTTGAATTAAGTCGTATACCGAACAAAAGTCGTATACCGAGCAAAATTTGTTTCGTCCAAACAGGACGTATTCCGAATTGGACGTATTCTAAAGCAGACGTATACCGAGGTTCC